GCTTCTTCTGTACTACAGAGCTTACTCAAAATCTCCTATTTGCAAAATTCAAATTAGCTTAGGCGGCAACGAGAATTTGGCAGGTGCTCTAATGGATCTGGAAATAGTGGTTTCTCAGTGTGCTTGCAGGCCAACCTTAGCCCATTTTTATTAACTTTTTTCTCTAAAGTTAGCTGACGTGTCTTTGTCTGTTACGTGACGGATCGTATGAATGCATGGAATTTTGAGGCGACTTATTTTTAATATAAAATGCACTAGTTTGGCTATGTCTAGCAGTTAGATTGGCTCCTCCTTTCATTTTGTCTTCTTTCTAATTTGACCGACCTGAAATTATTTCCAAGCTATACACTTGGATGTTATATGAATGTCTATTTCGATAAAAGATTTATTGTTATTCTTAAGGAAGGCTCTATTTAATGTCAAGAGGATGGCATGCGACAAATCCCAAGTAAAGTTGACAAGTGATCCGGTTGGACTGGAAACTTGACATCAAGCTGTTTCTCCCACCCATACGATTTTAAAATCTATAAGATAACTTTTTACAAGCTTAATTCACTTTTTAATTTCCATAGGCCTAACTTGGCTGTAGAATCAGCTACATTCATTTCACTTATCATCAAACATAACTACGAAGTTTCCTTTATTGCTTTACTAATTATTATCATTGCCATTATGGCTAATATTATTATCAATACACTTCTGTCCTCAAGCTTGTCAGGACCTCGGAATCCGGCTCTCCTCAATCATCTCCCGTGCAGAATGGCTCCGTTTCCGACCGGCCCTCCATGGGTGGACGTCCTCTATCAAGCGGCCCGTCCCTTTGCATCGTCTCGACTTTCTCGAAGCCGGCGAGTGGCCTTCCTGGTCCGGGGCCCTCAGGGCCGCTGACCTCAGATCCGGTAGCAACGACCTGTCCTTTGCTTGAGCCTGCGGCCGGTGACCTCGGAATCGGCGTTGAAAGCGGAGGTGCTTCCGGCCGGTCGACGGCCAGTGACGAGAAACCGTCTACTCTTGCGGCCACCGCGAGCCATTTAAAATGGCAGTCTTCTACGAGTGAAGACTCTGAAGCTGAGGCACAGGCACTCAGGGTAACCACTCAAGGCTACCCGATTATTTTAAGACTATTTCACTCGGCCAAATAGTGCTTGTTCCCAAGACTTAATCCAATAAATACTGGATGCTGGAAAGGAGAAAATTTCACATCATACATTCACTTTGCTGTCATTAATTGAAGGATCCCAAAAGCGACGGCTCTGGTCCTTCAGACGCTGTGTGCGCTGGCCTTATTTCTGACAACACCTATTTCATCAACTTAAGTTAGCCATCTGTAAAGATTATAAAAATGAAGTCAACTTTCGGCGAAATTCATGCACTATGTCTAGAAAATATCTTGAAATATTATAAGCACAATCATCAAGTTTTATAAAACCACAAACACTTGGCTATAAAACACAAGAAGTGCTTTTGCCAAGACAGTTCTTGAACTGAGAGATAGAGCGTTTTAATTTTGCAAGCTGTCAACAAATTGGAGAATCAAAATAGTCTTCACAGGAATTGTGACAACTTTTAGAGAGTAGTATGATCCTTTGTCAAAATCTGGCTGTTACCAAATACTGTCTTAATGTGGCCGTCCTTGTGCTATCGAGACTGGTCGCTCTATCCGCCAAAGATTAGCGGAGCGCTCAAATACTTATTGTAGACGTAGACGATACCGACTGCCATGCCAACTACGAAGCGTCTGGGAATGTACTAAGTCAGAGGTCTGATGATGGAAATTATCATGAATACTGTGAGGAAGGATATAGGACTAAGTGCGTTCCACAATGTGCTCTTTTCGCCTCGGCAAAATCGCGAAAACGAGGTCAAACCAACATGATAGCTTACTTTGCCTATTTCGTTACTCATCTTGGCCTCAGGCACTCTTTGCTGCCGTTGGTTTAGATTTAATTTGTTTATATTATTCACTGTCACTATCTCATTATCGACTACCTCATTTTATCATTGTCTGTCATACAGATTTCATGGGAGTGCCATATTTTATTGAACAGCCATAAACCGATTAACCAAGCTAACACGAATGTAAAGTTCAGTCTTGCTTTGCTAAGAGTGAAAATTTGGTACGCTCAGGCTTGGCAATATACACTCGGAGATAGATTAAAATGAAGTATATTGCATTTGATTGCCTATTGCAACACGAGCGATAAAATTGCTTAATATTATTCGTGACAATGAAATGTTAGAATTATTGTCTTACCCTTTACCAGCCATTTCTCAAATGGCTGATTTTTGCGGTTCCTCAATTCACCTCATGAGTCACATTTACCGCCAAAAAAGAGTTCATCCCTTTTTTCTCATTTATTGTATGTCCTACAAGATTGGCCTCCTCAACAAATTTTACCCTATTTGATAAGGATAGAATAAAGCGAATTCGGTAACAAAGTTCATCCTATAATGGTGTCATTTTTTCCGTCGCCAGACCTATTTTTCTGTCGTTTTGCGAGACAAAATTGCCCACCTGATTCAATTGTGGCTTTTATGGCTAGCTCAAAGCATCAAACGATTCCTCAACTATCTTTTCTCTGTCCCCTCTCCTGCATACACAAAGTGCGTAGTCGAGATTAATAATTTATTGGTCCTTTCTGTTATTTTGCAAAATAAGGTAACAGCGCTTAATAGAAGATATGAAGACCAAGATATTGTGGCGTCTGGTATGGTCGCAGTCTCCTTTCGATTTATAGAAGTGGGCTGACCTCGTTGTCGCAATTTCGTCTTGTTGTCAGGACGACTTAGGAGAACGCACCTAGTCCGAAGTCGTCTGCCATAGTAGTTGTCATGATTCCCAGCATCAGACATTCTCAAACGTTTTACCGGCAGCAGCATTGAGTTTTGCCATTCTCCGTAACCAAGCTACGAACTCGTCAAAGAAACAAGTGAAGTCATTCCCTCGACAAACGTTCTGTCGAAAACAGTTACACTTTCACTCCTCTTTCCGTCCTGGTCTATCTATCTACTCTTTCTCCTCTTATCCCACTGCTGTCCTATCACAACGTCTCACTGGTTTCCATTCCACTCGTCAAAATGTGTGCCCTTTTGTGGCAAACCTAGTGTGACCTCATCACACTTGCTATTTACCTCGACCCCTCTCTTTCGATGGGCTTATCCGATTCGGGCCTCAAATCTGGATCCGCTCATTGTCTTGTGGAACCGTTCCTTCTCTTTTTGGTTGACCGATTTCACTCGGTTCCAGTCCAAGTGTACATATCACTCCAGGCGCTATTTCTCAAGGCCCTAGAAGCACGTACACTGCATCTTCGTTGAACAGAGCATCTAAGCTCTGATTCCCGTGCTTGCAGATATCAGGACTTCCCTTCACGGGTCCTCTCTTTCATTAAACCCACGTTATCTGAGCAAATTGTCGACGCCTATCTCTGATCGCATGCGGCATCTCAAGTGGATTTCTGGTACATTTCGGGCATAACGCCAAATTTCCGTGACGGTTTGCTCATCCGTCCGCCCACCTCCTTGTCTACCAATCCCCCAAAGTTGTACTGGTTTATACGAAATGGACATCACACATTGACAACGTTATCAGAGCTAAGGTGCTCTGCTCAGTAAAGCGGCAGTGTATGTGCTTCTAAGGCCTTGAGGAATTACGCCTGGAGTGAAATGGACACTGGGATTGAAACCGAGTGAAATCGGTCAACCAGAAAGAGCAGGAACGGATCTACGAGACAATGAGGGGATCCGGATTGGAGGCCCGAGTCAGAAAAACTGATCGAAAGAGGGCCTCGGGGTGAATAGCAAGTCTGATGAGGCCACACTAGATTTGCCTTAAAAGGCCACACATTTTGACGAGTGGAATGTAAACCAGTGAGGAGTTGTGATAGGGCGGCAGTGGGATTAGAGGGTAGAGAGAAGATTGATAGACCAGGACAGAAAGAGGAGTGATAATGTAACTATTTTCGACAGAACGTTCGTCGAGGGATTGACTTCACTTGTCTCTTTGACGAGTTCGTTGCTTGGTGCGGAGAATGGCAAAACTCAATGATGATGCTGGCGAAACGTTTGAGAATGTACCAAGTCCACTTTCTGATTCAGGGAATCATGACAACTACTATGGCAAACGACTTCGGACTAGGTGAGTTCTATCAAGTCCCCCCGACAACAAGACCAAGTTGCGACAACGAGTTTAGCCCACTTCTATAAATTGAAAGGAGACTGCGACCATACCGTAGGCCACAACATCTTGGTCTTCATATCTGCAAGTAAACTACGGCAGCAAAATTGCCGAACAATGCACTGAAAACAGCCGGACAAAAAATAAACTTGTAAATCAATCTTCTCATCTTACTTTTTTAAAATGTTACAAACGTTATGGTATCACTCCTAAATTATGTGACCTTAAGGGACCCTACCACTCGAACAAGGTTAATGAGTATCTCCACCAGGCTTCTATTCAGAAACTAAGTGAGACCTATGATACAGAACGGAATAAGTTGTTTTAGTTTATGGATATTAAGTCAAAGCTCCTGCGTGATTTGGCCATGATCATGTCTCCAAAAGATTTTCACAAACTCCAGAGCATGACTGACAGGAAATAACATAGGATTTCTGAATTAATAACAAAACAGCATGAGGATAAGTTGCGTAAGTTTGGGATTATTGGACAGCCTAAGTTAAGGTCAGTAAGCCCCGTTCAAGTGGTTTCTAAAATGACAACATTTACTGATCAGCACGGAGATAGGAAGAAAGTAGTAAACTTATCGTCAATTCCTCTCAATTCCGAAACAACTACGTTACTGGAAATGTTGTCATTTTGGAAATCACTTCAACTGGGCTTACTGACCTTAAGTTAGGCTGTCTAATAATCCCAAACTTACGCAACTTATCGTCATGCCGTTTTGTTATTAAGTCAGAAGTCCTACGTGATTTCTTGTCTGTCATGCTCTGGAGTTTTTGAAAATCTTCCGGAGACAGGATCCTGGCCAAATCATGCCGGAGCTTTGACTTTATATCAATAAACTTAAACAAATTATTGCGTTCTGTATCATATGTCTTACTTAGTTTCTGAATAGAAGCCTGTCGGAGATACTCATTAACCTTATCCCAGTGGTAGGGTCTCTTAAGGTGATTTGGCTAGGATCCTGTCTCCGGAATATTTTCAAAAACTCCAAAGCATGACAGACAGGAAATCACGTAGGACTTTTGACTTAATAACAAAACGGCATGACGATAAGTTGCGTAAGTTTGGGATTATAAGACAACTTAAGTTAGAGCCAGTACGCCCAGTTGAAGTGGCTTCCGAGGTGACAGCGCCTACTGATAAGCACGAGGATAGCAAGAAAGTACTAAACTTATACTCAATTCCTTTTTATACCGAAACAACCGCGTTCTCGGAAAAAAGACTCAATTTTTCAATTGAACATCACAGAAGCCTTCTATTAGACATCCTGGCGGAGGTTGTCAATATCGCCGACAAGCTCCCTGAGGAGACAAAACAGGAAATGGAAATGGACCTAATTCCAAACATCTTGACACATCAGGAACCTACACACGGGAACAGATTTGCTGTGATACGCAGGATCACATATCGTATACTAAACAAGGACCACAACTATGAAGATCAATGGAATCTTATGTGCTATGCTGAAAGATATGCATATAAATGGGGAAATTGAC